AAACATTCTCAGGATTTGCACATAACCCCATATTTAGGTTTATCTGGCTACAAAGAGATCACATAGCAAGGTACCAACAACACCTTCAGCCATTCTATCTTCCCCAAGCTAGCAAGCTTTTCAAGGGGGAAAAAACAATGAAAGTGAGGAGCAAAAAACATCTTCTCTAGTACCATTAAAGGTAGAGATGTTGCAGCAGAGAAAGGTAATCGCTCAAGATCATATCCATTGCTCTCTGATTTGGGTCAACATCCCTGTGATGCAGCTCATCACAGGGCTGCAGTAGCAAACAGCAACTACAAATGACAATTCAGAACACTTCAGTTCCAGAGAATGTCAAATAGCGAATGTGAAGTTTGAATAACTTATCACAGACTCTCAAATATCTTACAAGCACATACTTGCACTGGTACACAACGCTGTAGGTACACATTCAAGAACGTACATTCCTTACCACATCAAGGAGCTGTCTCTCAACAGCAAGGGCAGCTGCAGCATCCAAGCACTCATTGCCCTGTGACTGCAACCCCAGCACTGCTTGTTTGTAGCATTTAGTCAACTCCAGTGCGAGTTTCACTTCCTGACACACTTGTGCTTGATTAGTTCGGTATTTAAGTTTTGAAGAACAACAATTTGGGAGAAGCGCACTGTTACACTAATACTGATTTAGTAGGTTACACAGATTGCCTCTGCCTGTTCTAAGCTGCAGGTTTTCCACCACCAAAGCGATGTCGGTCATACGTGTGACTAGATGCAATCTCTGTGCAACACAGCTCTGTGCAGAAATCCCAGTTGCCTGAGCCACACCACAGGAACGCCTGTTTGGTTCAGCGCGGCTGCTCTCCACAGCATTCCTCTCTTTATCAAGATTTTTCACATCTGCTTTGAACAAACGCGATTCAGAATATTAAAAAATAATAATGTAAAACTAAAGGTTACTTGGCAGGAAACAAAGCCAGCATTCTTGGGTTAGATTCATACTTACTCTGACTGTGGACTTCCCCTTCCTTTCTCTTCCCTAACTTTCACTCAACCCCTGGATGGATGTGAGCGCTTCATACCAGCATTAAGACATCCACACTTCTGCACACTGACACCGCATGGAGTAGCACAGACTCCCCTTTAGCTCCAAGCTCTCAGTACTCATTAATAGGAGGGGAGGGGTCAACAGGGGCAGCGCTCACTCCTCAGCAGCCCCCAGCCTTTCTGCACACACCATATTGGAAGTTCTGTATTCCTGTCTTTCCCTGCACCCACCCACTTTTTAAAAGGTGTATTGAAACGTGAGGATTAAAAATACTACATATTTAGGTTTTTGTTTCGTTTTTAAGAGTTCTTGGCAATTTTGTTTTAATAACCTCTGTTGTCCACAGCCATACAGTGAGCCAAAGAACGGTAACTGAGACAGGGGAGGTTTATGTTAGATATTAGGAGGAAGTTTTACACACAGAGGGTGATGACACTGGAACAGGTTGCCCAAGGAGGCTGTGGATGCCCCATCCCTGCATGCATTCAAGGCCAGGCTGGATGTGGCTCTGGGCAGCCTGGTCTGGTGGTAGGCAACCCTGCACATAGCACGGGGTTAAAACTTGATGATCATCGTGGTCCTTTTCAACCCAGGCTGTTCTATGATTCTATATAACACGGCCACAATGTGACAGAGAGCAGCCAGCTCAGCTGTTTGCTTAAAAGCAAGCACAAGTGGCAAGAACTAGAGAGCTTTTGCTCCCTCAGATCTGTCTCAGCTTTTACAAGTGCTACATTGGCTATTGCAGAACCAAGAACAGCCTGTTTCCAGTTGACTCCTGAATCCCATTACTCCTGGTGCATTCCTGCCTAACTAACAGCAGTACCTTCCCAGCTTGCTGACATGTCCAGACACACTCCTGCAGGTGAGCAGACGTACAGATGACAGAACGGAAATACCCTGCAGTGGCGTGAACTGACAGATCGATCTTCTCAAAGAGTACAGGGAAATAATTCAGACATATGCAACACTACCACCACCAAAAAACTAACAGAAATTCCAACCCACGCTTTTTCCTACAAATTGCCTCCCCTGAAATAAGGAAGTACAGGAAGCCTAACTAAAAACACCATCGTGGCTGAAACTGAGCAAAGAAAGAGCAGGAATGTACCAAGAAAAGTAATGCAAAACAAATCATACTGTACCAACCATGACTGGGTAAGTGTAGTCTTTGTTTTACTGGACAAATGAGAGTTGGTGTCCAAAGAAACATTAGCAAAGTCAGCATACTATTGTTGAGGCGATACACACACAAAAATAACAGGTTTTCCAGCTACATGAAAAACTAAGTACCTAATATTGACAGCTGGACTGCAATCACAAAGTTTATTTCCATATTCTTATTTCCATCCCCTCCAAGCCACCAGTCCAGCTTTAGTGCACACTGAAATAAGCTATTAGACAGCTTACACAAAGACCTGTTTTCTACCCCTTCTGGGCTACACAGATACTGAGATTTTACAATCCAGATGTCTTACTTATCTAAGCATATAATGAAGGTAATACTTCTAGATCTCATCAGGCCACACAAACACTACTGGAAAAGATACTCAGGTGTTCAATATGCTTATATGACATGCAAATGTCAGACCAACATTGTTCAGACCTGACTGCCTACTAAAAAAAACGCTTTAATACTTCACTTTCACAGAAATCAATCAGCTCACTAGAAACGCGCCCAAGTGATATTCCACTCCAGGTTGAAAAGGCCAAACTCAGTTGTTATTTCACCTAAAAACTTCTTCTATACCCAAGCCATTCACTGAGACCCAAGCAACCACTTTTACAAGCATTTGATCCAACAGCTTGCCAAGCTTCATATAAACACATTTTACTATTTCATAAAGTTTCTGTGCCAAGTTTTTGAAACATGAAGTGACAGGCTCTCTGTGGAATTGCTGCAGAGGCTCTCAGTGCCCCCAGCCTCCTGAGGCTGCAAACTGACTATGAGACGCCAGGTAGCCAGAATCTAATACAAGACTGCTCTGCAAATTTGAAATACTGAAGCAGACCATGATCAGCCAAAGAAGAATTCCTTTACATGTGCCTCAAAATCCCCCAGTGATCAGCACGCAATAAATATGCATCACTGCTGAGCTTCTGTTTTTCTGTTGGAAAAGTTTCTGTCATTAAGAAACCCACAAATTTAAAGATTAATGGTTAATATGCTCCACTGCATAAAGATATTTTAGCTATCTGCTTTTTCTCTTCCCATAAAGAAATCACCTCATCTTAATGATTCTTCTAACTTGTTCACATCTTATTTTCACCAAAGGTCCAGCAGTTACATAAACCAATTAAGAGTGAAGTTTCTTATCCCATAACCCAGTTTCCATGCTTCACGAAGCAAAACTTGACTTCTTACAGTAAAGTTACATTTGTGTCCCATTACTCTGCATTTCAATCTAATTGACCACTTACTGAAACTTCTCACTTTCTCTCCCAAGCTGGCCTGCTCACAGCTCTAGCATATCAAAGCTGGATATAACCTATTTTTTGCCACGCTTACTTCTGATTTACTGCCTATTTGCATTTCACAGAATCACAGAATGGCCAGGGTTGGAAGGGACCTCAAGGATGATGAAGCTCCAACCCCGCTGCCACATGCAGGGCCACCAACCTCCCCATTTAATACTAGACCAGGCTGCCCTGGGCCCCATCCAATCTGCCCTTGAACACCTCCAGGGACGGGACATCCACATTCTAATGCTACTACTTAAAGATTTTGAAGACATGTCCTTTATGGTGTTTTGCAGCATCACTGTAATTCTGAAGGAAACAAGGCAGATAAGCTAGAGACAGTCTTTTTTTGGTCATAAAAACAGTAAACTCTAGATTCTACCTCTTTTATATCGTTCCTTGATGCAGTAATACCCAGGAAGGCAGTAAAGTTTCTTTTTAGAGTTAGTTACGCTCTATTTTTCAGGCTGCAGAGCCAGTTAGGCAGAGAAGAGCTCACCTCTCAGTGCCAGGTCCCTCACCTGAGCCAAACTGCTGACTCTGTTACTGATCCCTTTGATATTACAGCCGCTTAGCTCACAGTTTAAATTGTTGAGAAACACATGAATGCAATTTACTCCTATAAAAAGAAGCCTAGGTTTCTTTATTAATCTAAAGCAGCATGCCATCAATCACTTCCAGAGCTGCATAAAACAACCAAAAAGCCATTTTTCCGTACTCAGTCATTTCAAAGTTCCAGCTGCCTGGAATTGAAGGCTCTTCAGCGTTCGGCTAGAAGGGTGCCACTTGAGGTTTACGAGTCTTTAGAACGTGCTTAGTACACTTCTATAAGTACAGTCCACGTTTGTGCACCATTCACAAGACACAATAAATGAAAAAGCGCTTAAGGGCCCTTCCAAAAGGACGGGGCCGGGGTCCGAGCTCAGCCCTGCACCAGTGCCTTCTGGAGGCCTGTGACGCTTTTGGCAACCCCAAATGGCAGCGTGAGCTCTCCAACCCACAGCGTGCGAGCTGTATCCTTACGACACCTTTCAGCCGTCTCTCCCTCAGAGGCAAGAAGGAAGATCTAGAGACACGAGCGGGCTCAGCGACCCGCCTAGACCAAGCCCGCGTAGACAGCAGGGCAAAGGGACGCGGTGGCTCTCCTACGGATTACGGGGACAGGTGGCGATCCGCAAAGGGGAGCACCCAGCCCCCATCCCGCAGCCGCGGCTATAGCGGCCGGAGGAGCTGCCCGGCATCCTCGGGGCCGCCCGGCTCACCCGAGCGGTGCTCCGACGGGTCGCGGCCGCCTCAAGCTTCCCGCCCGCGGGGCAGAACCCCCGACGCGAACGCGACCCCGCGAGGCGGTGACGGACACGCGTGGGCAGCCCGCGCACCTGCCCGCCCGTGCCGGGAAACTTTCCGGGCTGAGGGTGGGGGGAGGGCGGGCGCGGACGGCGTTGCGGGGGGGCCAGCGGCGGCGGTTGGCGACGCGCGGCCCCGGCGGCGGTTGGCGGCGCGCGGCCCTTACCCGTCCTTGCGGCGGGCCTTGTAGACGTGCCCGTAGGTGCCTCTACCCACTTTGCAGCCCTCGTACTCGAACAGATCCTCCACCCGCTCGCGCTCGGCCGCCAGCTTCGACTTGAACTCGTAGTCCATGTCTCGCCCATGGGCGGGGAGGGACGGGAGGGGGACGCGGCGCCGGATCAGCACCCCCGGCCGGCGGAGCCCCCTCCCGGCGCCGCCATTTCCGGGGCTCGCTGGGGGCGGGCGGGATGGGGGGGGGGGGGGGGGGTTTGTTTTTGTTTTGGTTCGGGGCTTTTCGGCGGGGGGAGGGGGTGCGCTCCGCCGCCACCCGCTTCAACTGGGTTCCTCGCGGCGCGGCGCGGGGCACGCCGGGAGTGGTAGTGCGGCGGCAGGAGCCGGCCCCGGCAGTGTGGGCGGGACAAGGCCGCGGCTGAACTACGACTCCCGGCATGCCCCGCGCCGCCGCGGCTAGGCGGCGTCGGCGCACTGCGCGCCCCGGAGACGGCGAGCGCTTCGGCGGCCGCCGGGAACTTGCCGACTCTTAACGTCGCGGGAGCGGAGAGACTGCCACCCGGCTCGGCGCCTCCTGCGCGGAGACGGCGCGAGCCCCGCTACCGCGGCCATCGTGCACAGGGCCGCGAGGAGCGGGGTGCCGCGATGCGGTGCGGCAAGTTGTTTATCTCGGCAGCTGCCACTCAACGCTTGGCTCCACCCTTCGCTCGATGTCGCCCCCTGATTGGCCAGCGTGGCCCCGCCCCCGCGGCCCCGCAGCGGCTCCCGCCGCCGAGCCGAGCCCAGCCCGGGCCGCGGGCGTTGTGCTGCGGGGCGGAGCGCGGCGTCTCCAGCTCCGGGGGAGGCCGCTGGTTGGGCAGTGGCGGGGATCGCGAGCGGATGTGTCGGGGTCCGGTTCGGGGAGCGTCGCTCACCGGTGTTAGAAGCGCGGATTTTCCACGCTCGTTGTTTATACCAAGAATCACGTGGACAGAGTTGAGCGTTCACCTGCAAACGCCGGCTCCCTCCCGACTGGTAGTGGGGCCTGATGTTTAGATGCCCTCGCGCCGACTCTCTTCCCTTCAGCGCTAAGCGTGGAGATGGTTAGACAGATGTGATGACGCCGACGGGTTCACCTGCACAGATACATAGTGAAGCCTTTTAAAATTACATTCCAACCAATCGTTCCACGATTTCTTTGTGCCAAGCTCTGCACGGGGGCACAGGGCAAAGCCAGAGGAGAAAGGAGGGAAAAGCACCGCCCGCCCAGCAGTTACCTGCAGTGCTGGCAGGAGGAGCAGGCCGGCTGTTGTGCCTTCCGGAAAGCCCCCTGTGCTGATCTCTGACCGCCAGAGCTCTCACAAAATGATTGCTCCTTTACCAACGTAGTGTTTCCCACAGAACCACAAGTACTGTTAGGTTGGGTTTTTTTCTGCAGCTGCAGATATGAATCTTCCTGAACAACGCTCCATGGGGAGCTGGCAATCTTCTTAAATGCAGTAGCGACCATTTATCTTTCAACGTCCACATTAAAGACGTTTGCTAAAATTAGAGCTAACCATCTACCTTTTGCAAAGCACTCACATCTTTAGTCACCTAGTAATCAAATCCAGCACTGAAAAGAGAGGACATAGGCTTGCAAAGACAAACGTGCCTCAGAGGGGTGTATGTTGGTAATAATAAACTCCACGAGTCCCCGTTGCTCACTTTGACCAAAATAATAATTGTTTTTTCCCTATTCTCATCACGGATGCTTTTGTTTTCTGTATGACAGCTCTGATTTTCCTGTAATTTGCTGTGTGTCTGCAGCCCTGGTTGGAGAGGGTGACAGCGCACCCAGGTATGGAGGCTCAGCCTGGCTGGCAGCTTTCAGCCTAGGCAGATCAGTTCTCCACCCGGTAGCACACCCAGCTCTTCAGTGTTGCAAATGGCTGTTTTATCCTTCCATAAACTGATTGTGCTCTGGCAGTAAACGCTTCACCCCTCACTGCTGCTGCTGGGAGGCTGTCTGACAGAAACTTCTCTCACAGGAAAGCCTTTTTTTAACCTTCAAACCTGCATTTCCTTGGGACTTGTCTACATCCATCTTCCCATGCAAATACTGCCCTAAAGTAGCCTTTCTTTCCCTCCTGTGTGTATCCCCTGCCAGAATTATTTATAGACTGCAATCTCATCCCCTCACACCCTTTATTTTGCTGGACTCAACAAGTCACGCTCTTCTCATTCCCCTAATTAGCTCTCTACTCCCCCTTCTTTGGATCATCTTATGGTATTTGCAAATCCTGCAAAGGAGAATTTTTGTGTAACATCTCATATAGCCATTACTCCTTAACTGTATGATTCATTGGAATCTGAGTTTATGAATTCAGAGTTAAATAAAATGCTTTTTTTTTTTTAAATTGAACAATTCATTTCCACTTTTTTTTGCCCTTGAGAAGTTTGTGTCTGTTTAATACTAACACAGAATGGGACTCTCTCTGATCACTGTACCAAAAATGGAGGTTTGGCTGATACCAAGGTAGTTATGTAAATAGCAAAATGTTATCTGTGCTCCTGTTCCTACTCTCATGAAAAAGCCTTACTTTCAGTTTTTGAAGCCTTACATTGGCCACAGAATCAGCTAAGCAGATCCAAGTTTAGGCCAGCTCAGAGTCCAGTAAGAATAAGATTGCCTTCTTGTTTGAAGACTGCAGAAGTTTTATCAATTTGCAGCTAGAACATGAGGATGAGCACATTTGTCTCATGTTGCAACTGGAGCACGTGGCAGGATTCTGCTTCAAATTCTTACTGTATTTTGTCCTACTTGGGGAATCTCTCATTTCTGAACTGCCCTTTGGCAGCAGTCCTGTTCTGAGAGATTGCATTCCTGACCAAATGGCTGCTGCTTCTTTGGATGGGTTTCCTACCATTCTTGAATATTTTATTATTGTGTTATAAATGTCTGTTCACAACAGAAATTAATGTAACTTTTTAAATATATAATGCCCTATCTTTTATTAATTGTAGTGATACAGAAATTCTGAAAAGTCCCACCAAAGCAAATAGAAGCTAGTGTGATGTTTCTCAGGCTGACAGCGTAACTGGAGATGAGGGGTTGTTGCTTGTTAGCATCACCATTTCTCCACAAGTTTTGATGGTTACGTAGTGCCCAGACTGTAGGAAAGGAAAAGTGTTTCAAGCAACTGAAAGTTGAGGAACTGAATATTCCCACCAATTCTCTATTCTAATTCTCCTAGAGAGATAAAGCACGAATTTCTAGCGAAAATAAGAATTTAGTCTGTTAACATTTTCACATCAAGAAATGGCACAGACCATTTTTTCTTTCCTTTGCACATAAAATACAGTGTTTAACTTTCTTTCCAGCTTGTCTTCACTTCACTTCCTGTCTTGATAAGTTGTATTTTCTGTCTAAGCCAATCTCTTACTCTTCTCTTTAAGTACTGGTGAGATAAAAAAATATAGTTTGTTTTCTGTTAATTTCTTAGGCCACGTCTGGAAGGAGTTGCACCACTCTCCTTGAAAGTTTTTACTTGTTAATGCAGCGGCAAATTTTGTATTCTTAGGGATCAGAGACAGCATATTTCCAGTAGATCTTGAGTGGGGCATTAATAAACCTATACAATGTTTACTTATGTCTGTCACATTTGAGTTGATGGTGTTTCTCACACATCTCAGAAGTCCAAGGAAATTTGAGAAAATTCAGGAGAAATTGCAGTCTCACATGAATTGCACCATTATCTCTACAGAAGCAGAGCAAAACTCATAGTTCTGTTCCAAAGGTGCAGAAATTTACTAGGAATTTTTAATCACATCAGTACGAGGGGCTCATGAAAGTGGGCAGCATGTCAGATGATTTCTAATAGGTGTAGCTGAGAACGTCTCTACCTGGCTGTAAGTTCAGACATTTTCATTCTAGGTAAAGCTGTACATTTTGGAACAGTTTCTGTTGGTTAACTTCAAAACACCTCTAATAAATTTGTTAACTTTATTAACTTAGAAAATGAAGTACATAACTAAGGTGCACTATCCAGATTTTACAATAAATCTAGAGAGCATGCTAGGAATGGGAGATGGGAGTCCTGAATTCTGCTACCATTATATAATTAATTGGCTAGCTCTATGTTTTTAAAATTCATTTTTTAACAGTACCACAATCCAAATACTACTAAAATAGAAACCTTGTGCTGCTTTTCTTGAATATAATCCAAGATACTGGTCTCAAAATAGGCAGTACTGCTTTTAACCGTCGTTGAATTTTTCCTGAGAAAAAGAAAACTCTCACAAAAATCACAAAACCTACCCCCTGCCTTCTCTTTACAGACTAAAACCAGCAAAGTAAAAGCAAACTAAATCCACACTGCATGATGTGCCACAGTTCATCGTTGTACAATTACAGCCCAGCCTTACCACTGATCAACAAGTGTCATCACAAGTGTCTTCTTAGCGTACCCAGTCTCCATGAATTGTGAAACAAGACAAGTCAGCTTATTTCATTTACAGTACAGCATGCAGTACAGCATATTTTCTTCAGTTTTTCAGAGAAGGCTCAAAGTTGGGATACTGTTAACTACAGCCATCATGTTCTCATCTGATAAACGGCACGATAGCTGGTTTGGAGGGCCAGTCATTACCACCAGCATAAAGCAGGAGTTCAGAGAAAGCTTTGAACTCTAAAAATGTAGAATCTGCACCTCATTATGGAGAAAGCATAAACTCTAATTCTTAACATAGCAGCCAAAAATGTGGTACTTGGGAGTTTCACAGTTGGTGTCACTGAGATTCCTTTGGTTTTTCGATCTACTTGCACGATCAGTGTTCCAGCACCACCATATTCCATCTACTATTACTTACCTGACATTGGTCATAGTTTTCAGAAACTAAAATGATTCTCAGCTTCCTTGTAGAATTTACTGATTTTTTTTTTTTTTTTTTTTTTTTCCCCCATGAACTGGGAAAAACTGTTGTACATAGAGAAAAATGAAAAATGATTCTTTAATTCCTAGGGAAAATACACTTGAAGTGTATAAAGAAGAATGAAGCAAAATGCACTCTGATAGCTTTCTGCAGTTAAACCTATCCTGCAGAAGAAACAGAACTGTGCTGAACAACCCACACTTCATCAAGCTCAACTACTGCAACTACTGCAACACAGCAGTAACTGTTATGTTTTAAACTGTTTCCATCGGGTATAACAAGTTTTATACCACTTTAC